TAGCTGCTCCCTCTCTGTTGGACTTTGGTACTGCATGTTACTTCCGCGTTTGAGATCCTGGGCTTTTCATAAAATATTCGGGGCTTGAGACCGAGTAGCCGGGCCTAACGCCGCCCCTGATTGTGGGTAGGGTGATGATGTTGTAAAAGGTCATAGAGGTTGTTGAGACTTTTAGAGGTGATGATGAAGGTGTTGAATTGAATGTGCTGTTGAACAAGAAGCTAGTAAAGGTTTTTAAACCAGAGTTATGTGTTCCTTAATACTGGTGAGTAAGAGAAGCATGACAGCTGAGCTTTGAACTTACCGAAGTTTCTTTAAGCATGTAAGAGGGAGACCATATAGTAGGCTGTTGCAATAGTCAATTCTGGAAGAGGTGAAGGCATGGATGAGGGTTTCTGCAGCCTTGAAGGATAGAATGAGCTGGAGACAGGCAATACAGTATGTATTTTGTAGTTGAAAATAGGCTATTTTATTGATGATGGTGGATGTGTGGTTGGAAGGAAAGGCTAGGGTCAAAGATGACCCCAAGGTTTCTGATTTGAGGGGGTAGAATGATTATATGACCATCAATAGTGAGCAAGAAGTCTTTACAGGAAGGTAGGAGGGATCTGGGTCCAGTAATGAGCAGTTTTAGGTTTGTTATCTTTTATTGAGTCTGATCCAGTGTTGCGGGATGGGTGGTGGGGATGGGTTGTGTTTTATGCAAGCTTTGACAGACTCATTAGGTCAGACCTGAACTCAATACCTGTATAAAAGACATGTGCACTCACACTAAATCAGTCAGACTCAAAGTTCACCATGGACAAGACCAGTTAACCCTTTGATGCATGAATCATGAAATGTTCAACCATGATTATTTAACAAAGTCTTTCATTCATCTTTAGGTGTGAATGAAACAAATTTCAACAAACATTTTTGTAACATTTAATAATTTACAAACAATTTATTACATGTCCAACTCAGTGGACAGCGTGCATTCTGAACATGAAATATGTTGGCTTGACTTACTGAAGTACAAATGGAGGGGCTCAAATGCAATAAAGTATTCAACCACTGTGCTTAATAGCAATAAATAAATAAATAAATAACAATGCTGAGTACCTGTCCACTGTAGTGACCATTATGCATCAAAGGGTTAAAGCTGCTTTCTGAAAATTTCCCCTTTCAGAAATGATGTATGATTAGTCAGAAATCCATAAAAGCGATTATCTCATTATGTACTGTGATATAATGTAAGCAATACGTCTATTTATTTATTTTTTGCTACTCACGCTCCTGCCCCACAGAGCTGCATGCAAAAGGAAACTGAGCGCCGACCAGAACTAACCAATAGCGTTAGACTGCTGCTTGGATGCTTCAAATTTAAGGAATACCTCGGCTGATGCAGAGTTGATTAACTTTTCACAGACAAGAAAATCTTTAAAATATTAATACATGAAAACACAACATGACATGAGAATAATACGTGTAAAACAACGTGTTTTAGCTCCGTTTGTCGGCTACAGAAGCACATTTATAAACAGAAACATGAAGTCACCATATTAAAAAAAACAGAGGAACAGAGTTTTTGTGTGATATGCTTGTCAGCCACTAGATGGTGTCATCGGATAAGAGAAATACTCCAGAAAGAAGCTTTAAGGGCCCCAGGGACCACATCTTAAGCCGGGCGTACACTGTGCGACTTTTTCACTTTTTTGAGCCGATTTTCCAGTCGTGCGAGAAGCCACGACATCGGGGCGAGTTTTGCGCCGAGCGGTCGTGTAGTGTACAGGGGGTTACGAGAGGCGATTAACACCACGTGACCAGCCGCCGATCAGCAGTCGTGAGGTCGCAGGGACTTCTGGTGTGTTTAATATTTCGCTCGTCCCTCGTGAGGGTATCGCACTGTTGAAGCGGCGCTGCGAGCAGCTGCGAGCAGCTACGATCCAAAAAGTATCAGAACCGCTCACGGCGCATGCGCGCGCAATCCTGCATCAACGCCGGCCGGTCGCTCGCTATTTCCCTAATAACACACGCTGTTCGTTTTTGTTTCTACACGTTTTTTTACTCACAAAGATTGTCAAGAAAGCGTGTTTGTCGTGTTCATGTCAAATTAAACTGATCACAAAACACAGATTCACTTTCTTTATTTCGTTTTCCTCATCCAACCCCCATAAATCCCTGTGTGTCCTCCTGCAGCACTCCCGAAGAACAACAGGCAAGACAAAAAAGTCTGACGTGTTGAGTAAAAACTGCTATTTTTAGCACATTTTTAGGGCCGACGTGTTGCTACCAGACGTACAGTGTGAGCAGTCAGGTCGCATGCGAGAACTGGGTCGTGCAGTGTGAGCACATGACTCGTGAGATCTGCTCTGCGAGGAAGTCGTACAGTTTGAGCTGAAGCTGAACGCTGCGAGTGAAAAAGTCGCACAGTGTACGCCCGGCTTTAGACAGAGGACTAGGTTGGCCAACATGACAATTAGTAAACAGCTTGGGCGGACAAAAACTGCTAGCATAATTTTTAGAAATGCAGAAAATTCAAATCTCACCATGTGGAGGTTCAGAGATCATTGGAAAGGTGAGGGATCAGCCCAGAGCTAATGAGTACAATGACAAGTACACCATCCAAAACGCAAAGCATGGTGGTGGAAACATCATGCCTTGGAGGTGCTTTTCTGCGTTGGTACAATATTACAGAGCTCTCCTCATTAGTTTTAGAGGTATGGTATGAATTAAGTTTTAGTTAAAGTTGGGGATAAGAATAGACTGGTTATGGTTGGAGTTAGGGTTAGGGTCGGGCACATCCAGTCACCAAAATGAATGGAAGTCAATGACGATCCACACAATGAATGCTAGACAAGAACGTGTGTGTGTGTGTGTGTGTGTGTGTGTGTGTGTGTGTGTGTGTGTGTGTGTGTGTGTGTGTGTGTGCGTGTGTGCATGCGTGTGTGCGTGCGTGCGTGCGTGTGTGTGTGTGTGTGTGTGTGTGTTCCTTTTTCCACCTATGGAATATTGCTAAGATTAGAAGTATCCTTTCCAGAAGTGATGCTGAAAAACTAGTTCATGCATTTATTACATCAAGACTGGATTACTGTAATTCATTACTCTCAGGAAGTCCACAGTATGTAGTTAAAAGTCTTCAGTTTGTCCAAAATGCTGCAGCTAGAGTTCTGATGAGAATTAAACAGAGAGATCATATCTCTCCTGTTTTAGCTTCCCTACATTGGCTACCTGTTAAATTCAGAATAGATTTTAAGATCCTTCATCTCACATATAAAGCTCTTAATAATCAAGCTCCATCATACATCAGTGACCTGATTGTTCCATACGTTCCTAACAGAGCACTTCGCTCTCAGACTGCAGGTTTACTGGTGGTTCCCAGAATATCTAAAATTAGGATGGGAGGCAGATCTTTTAGTTATCAGGCTCCTCTCCTGTGGAACCAGCTCCCAGCTTTAGTCTGTGAGGCAGACACCTTGTCTACTTTTAAGACTAGGCTTAAAACATTTTCATTTGATAGGGCCTGTGGTTAAAATCTGATGTTAGCCTAAATCTGGACAAGTGGGGGAGTAGAGGGAGGTGGAGTGTACAGTCGGTAAAGATGGCTCTCCCTTGCCCTGCCTCCAACATGCCTCCATCTAAAAGGCTAGGTTATCCAGAGTTATCTCTGTAGTTATGCTGCTATAGGCTTAGACTGCTGGAGGATACACTGACCACTTTCCACACTCTACTACATTCTTCTACAATTTGCTCTTTAACTGTATTATTTCCTGCCATTTCAGCTGCTAACTTTATTTTTTCTCTAAGTGATTTTCTCCCCAGAAGAAGCTACAATGATGTTCTGCTGAGCTGTGGTGGCCTCATGGAGGGGGCCATCATCTAGCACACTGCTGCTAACCACTTAAACATTCTCCCTCTCCTGATAATAACATTTTACTTTCTTTGACATTGAATGTGCTACTGCTAGTTTACCTGTTGAATTAATTATGGATTCACTAGAATAAATACAATAATGTTTATCTCTTACTAAATACAATTTTTACTAAGAAATCACAATGTAACCATCGAAACACTTCTTGGTATAAATGCTGTGTAGATGTGAAGTGCCTTGAGACAACTCTTGTTGTGATTTGGCGCTATGTAAACAAACTTGAATTTAATATAATTTAATTGAAGCAGGTTTTGGAATTTTTTTCCTGATATTGAAACATCTTTTCTCTGATTGGCTAACAGCAACATGACTCTGCTTTCGATGTTGATGTTTTATCTCCACAAATAACACAAGCCTGGAAGACCTCTGCTGTGTAGTGGAATTGCTAATGCTAACGGTTAGCTTCTACTAGCTGAGACGTTCTCTGCTGTTTCCTGGACGCTAAACCAACAACAGCCTTCCCGGCCTTGAGTCAAGATGGATGAGTCTGTAAATGTTAAGTGACAGTGTGACGTAGATCTGTCAGACTTTTCTAATCCTAGAGTTTCACCGTCTATTTTCTATCAGAAGCTAATGCAGAAGATAGGTGTAGGAGACTATTTTCATGTTAGACCTGCATGAAAAACTCAGAGTGACTCATCAGAATTGACAATAATAAATAAAAAAAAGTTATTTTCAGTCACCCACACCTTTAAAATTTCTTGTCAAAATTAACAGTTAAATTGTTGTTTGAAAGCTCATGTTTCATAAATATGTGTGCTGCGTGTTTTTAATATTATGTGCTGGGTTAGAGTTGGGGTATGGAGTCCTTTAGAGTCTGAGACGGTGTCGGGTTTGGATATAGATGGAGTGCTGCACAGTCTGGAGGTGAAGCTGTTGAGGTTTTCACTCCAGGGACATTTGTCAGACGCGTTAAATGCTTTCTAAGAGTAATTATCATGGTTTTTATCTCAGTCTGAGGGTGCACTTCCTCCTTTTAAGATCTGTTAAGGACCAGTTTTTATATTTTCTAATGTCAGTTCTCTGTTCTTTTTCACAGATTTTGATGATGTATGTTGTGGATTGTTGGTTGTGTTGACCTGTGTCTTACCTGTACATTTTTTAGGGAGACCAGGTTTCTTGCCATGCATCCCCAGCTTACAGCCAAAGTTTTCCTCCCAGAACTCAGCAAACCAGACGTTTCGCCGGTTGTTGGACAGAGAGCGGCTCTTGAAGTAACGATCAAACGCTACAGAGAAACAGGACTCATCACTCCAGCCCCAGCCTCCTCACACATATTAGTTATGAGGTTTAACGTGTAGCTGTCTCACCGTCCACAGATGTCCTCTTAGGCAGAATGGTCACGGCTCCCTCAGCCACCTGCTCTTGCTGGACCACTGGAGAAATCTTGGAACCCCAGCTGTCGGAGCCCACCCACAGGAAGTGTCCCGTGAGGTTGTGACGTTTTGCTGCGTCCAAGATTCGTCTTTCAGAATCACAGATGATTAAATCAACAAGAAAAACATTAAAGAACTGTTAACAACCTCTTTCCTTTTTCACCTTCATTTAAACAAAAATAGTTATATTACGAATGCTTCAGCTTTTTTGGTACCATGTTTTCAATCAAAATGGTAACATGTCCAAACAAAAAACATATGTAACAGACATTGGAATAAATCGGTGTGTCTGCAGATGACATGCAAGTTAATCTGTAGAACGTTACTGCATTATTACACTTTTTATTTGAATTGTTCACTTGTGTTTTTTTTCCCTTTTCGTTAGTAAATTGTATCCATAATAAAACAATTCCCAGATGCTTTTGTCCAAAGAAACTCCCAAATGAAGACAATGCTAAGTCAAAGCTAACAATTAGCTACTTATAGTGCATTTCCACTAATCTGTGTGGTTAATCTCTACACGGTTTGGGTGTTTTTTAATTACAACTGAGAAAGCGCTCTAGTGGGTGGGCTCATCAATGCTTGCTGGCGACCAAATGCTGAGTGTAAGGTGATCTGTAGGTGACAAAAACACAACACCACGTTGGCAGAAATAACAGGGATGTTTGTAACTTGTTCTCAGACTCTGAAAAGAAGAGGCCTGGAAAAGGCTGCAGTAAAGTAGAAAGCTCAGGAGTTTGGAATGACTCCACCCCCTAGCCTGTCAGTGGACACGAATCTTTGATCTCTCATTTTCGGCCTGGCTCGGTTGGCTTGGAACCGCACTGAATCGGGTTCTAAAAAGCAACCATATTACTGGTGCTGAGTGGGTAACCAGGTACTAATGAATGCAAAAGAAGGAAGAAGACTAGTCATGCTCTGTCTGAGGTGACAAGGCTGACAACATAGAAATAGAGTGCAAGCACAGAGGTAAGTGCGTGAAGAGAGTCCAGGAGAGTAACAAGGGATAGAGACAGTGTGGGTGCCACTAGGTGTTTCCTACAGCTAGACAGGGTCACCCTTATGCTGGTAGCTCATTCCTCCATTGTAGAACTACCCATAAAAAGGGTCTGGATTGTATTTAGCATGGTTTAGTGCTGATAATCCTTTGATGACCTGTTACGACCAAGGTTTGAGTTAAAATGAAGGATGGGCGTAACACAAAAAGCCAAGTGCAGGATGGGAAAATCCAAATACTGATTTAATATAAAAGGATTTGAAAATACTGGTACTCCCAAAATGGTTAAAACACACATTTATTCATATTGTTGGCTCCTGGGTTTTCAGATGTTAAACAGAATACTTTAAACTAGTGTTGTCAAAAAATCGATACCTAGATATAAATCGATGCTAAAAGTGGTATCTACATTAGATATTCCATCCCTGTGGTATCGATATTATGGACTATTATACACAGCCTTCTTCAAGTACACCGACACGCACGACAGCCAGATGCCGTAAAGCAGCCTCCGCCTCCCAGACAAACAGAAGAAGAAGACGCCGCATGGCTACATTGCAATTTCCCACGCGAGTTGTCTCCGATCCAAGCTTTGTCTGCCAAATAAATAAATAAAAACATAAACTGCAAATTTGGGAGGCGCTTCACAGCCCAACTTAATTAGCATACCAAGCCCGACACGCAGTTGTATATTCACGCTTATGTGCTTAAAGGAAAACTCCCGTTTATTGCAACCCGGACTTAATTTCTAGCATGTAGTATGTTTGTTTACTCACGCTGACAACTTTGGTGCTACTTGGATTCCCCGGGGTATTTAGATCCATCGGCGAATCACCATCAGTGTATATCCATATAACGGGTGCGGACGGGCACCCATGGTGCAGCCTCGAAATAAGACATTATCTGCACCAAAACATCTTCATGTCGAAAGGTTTTGTTAGGAATCCTTAACATGATTCCCCTGTTCGTTTGGAGCGGGTCTGGGATTTCTAGGCGTGAACAGACTAGCCGCGGCTATTCTAACCGGGGCTTTCAATGGCATCACTGCCGTGCGCCAATCTGTTTTTATTAAGATTACCGGTTGATGTACCTTTGTCCTACTGTGGAGAAATTTGTTTTCTCCCTTTATTGACCAACAGAGTTGTTCAAAAGTACAGAACAAAACATATGGCATTACATCTTATGACAAAAATGCACCTTAAACAGAGTTTAAGCAGCAAAACATCACTCTGCAAATAGTGTATATAGTGAGACAATTCATGATTTAAAGTGTTAACTTTCGACAGTTTTTGTATGCACGTTTTAAAAAATGCTGATACTTGTAAGGTTTAAGCACTTTACACACTTTAATTTTTGCAATATAAATTGAGGAATGTTATTTTTTGAATAAACTTGTTCAATAAATTGGTGTTCCGAAATAGTATCGAAATCGAGTATCGAGTTTTTCCCCCCCCAGTATCGAATCGAGTTTGAAATTTTAGGATCGTGACAACCCTACTTTAAACTGACCACTGTCACGTTACGGTGTTGGTAGGACCCAAAATGCAGAACCCAAGATGACACGAGGCAGATGGTGATATAAGAAAATATCATTTATTTGGATGAGCCGAGAACAAGCAAAAATAAATCCAAAGGCAGGGAGCCAATAAGTCCAAAAATATCCAATTTCCAAGCTAGAGACAAAATACTGAAGACTAGAAGAGACTGGGATTCAAAAAGCTTGAGATTAGAGAAGGCTTGACAGAAATACTACAATGGACCGACACAAGGCAGAGACAAGACAGGGCTTAAATACACAGGGAGGAGTAATTAGGGAAAATGGCAGCAGGTGTGTGGGGTGAGGGCTGGAGGGAAGCAGGTGACAATAATTTATCTAAATGGGGGAAGCAGAACCAAAGGAGGACAGATACACCTAAAACACAAAAACTAAACCTAAATACTGAGGGAAGGACTCACACATACACACACTGACACACATAAACTCACACCTACATACACTGAACTGGGGAATGGACATGCACACACACACACACACACACACACACACACACACACACACACACACACACACACACACACACACACACACACACACACACACACACACACACACACACACACACACACACACACACACACACACACACACACACACACACTTACCCTGGGTTGGGGAGGACACGCATACACACACACACTTACCCTGAGTTGGGGAGGACGCGCACACACACAAACACACACACATATACAGAGCTGAGGACAAAGAGGCTGGAGCTGACCTGGGAGGAATGATCTTAAAAGGGTAACAACATGACACTTTAACTGAGATGCAGACAAAAGACACATGAGGGTGCTATGAGACACAGAGGGGAATCTAGAGAGGGATAGAGAAACATCAGGAGACACATGAAGGAAGACACAGACACAGGCCCTGACAACCACAGGATTTTTACAAACAAAGGTCCTCTGACCATATACACCTGTTGTGGCAGGAGGAAGCCAGGGGGTTCTGACTCATCTTCTGTTTTACAAAACACAAAGGCTATTACACAAATAGAACTCACTCCAGCTCCTCAGTAAAACCTGGGGTAAAAAGGCTGTGCCATCAGGAGTCTGGGAGGCAGCAGTCTAAGGGTTCTGCTCTTCTCTATGCCACACATTTTGTGTTTTAACCCCTTTGTTTGTAGAACTGTGACTGTTAAGGTTAACCTAGTAGTTTACTGACTTTGGGCTTTTAAAACACTCTTTGTTTTCGTAGTATGATGGTTTTTATTAATAAACTTTGTGATTTTTAAAAACACCTTCTAGCTTGGTAAAACTTTTAACGTTTTAACCAGGTGTTTTTATTGTTGATAATTGGTCTTTTAAATTTTAACCTTTTAGTCTTGTTTAGTGTGTCTTGTTTTCACATGTAATGAAGTCAACAGAGGGTTAATTGGATTAAATGAATAGCTTAAGAGCTATTTATTTCTATTCTCATTACTTTGTGACCAATAGCTGCAATACTCTATTAGTAGAGAATATCACCTTGCTTGGTCGTAGGATGATTAATCAGAAGGTTCTAGCATTCTTTTAATTATTAAGGGATTGTCACACTTCGTTTTGATTCAAGAACCAGTCACTGTTTGCAAACAAATAAGAATTTATTTTACAAACAATTTTAAGCCTTGACAAATGGTTTAAACTATTATTTACTGTGAGTGGATGCGAACTAAGAAATGGGTGTCTGGAACTAGGTGTGAATATAGTATTTCAGAGTCAAAATCTCCGTATCTCAGAGAGAGGTGAGTTCTGGATAACATAAAAATTTGGTTTGCATCTGAGCTGTAAGCTGTTTTTATCAAACTGCATACAAACGCTATCTCACTGTGTTCTACGTACCCAAGTGGAGGTGCCCTTATGGATCCGAAATGTCAGGGGGGTTGGAGACCCCCAAGCACAGAAGTCCGTAGACTAACTCCTAGTACGACCAGGTTGGTCTAGGATCGCTCCAGGTAACACAGGTGGACTGGATGAAACCAAGCGTCTCAAAATTACCTCTAAAGGAGTGTTGCTAAATGAGCTTTGAAAAATCTCTTGTCCTCAGCTTTGCAGGTGCAAAATCTTAAGGTTTTTACCGCGTGTCAAAATCCTTCCTTTGAGTTAGAGATTTGCTAAGAGGTGGCCGGCCTCCGCTTGCTCTCCAAACTCTTGTTCTGTCGGATGTTCGGACTGAACAGAGGAGAAGCAGAGTGGCTGGTTTTATAGCCCGCTGTTTATCTATTACCAAAGTTATCAAGAATTCTCAGAACGCACACTCTGTGATGCAGAGCTGCTGAGTCTGCAAAACAAGGATAATTTATGTGTAGTGCTTCTTAATTTAGCCTTACATTTTGTCTGGTGTGTGATCTAATCCAGTAAACATACTTAGCATCATTGAACAGATTCATGAAACATTTCATCATTTATAATTATACATGGCAATATTTAGTGATTATTAATAGTAAGATCTTCTTTTCTTCGAGGATTATTCTGAAATATAAAATGATTACTTATATTATGAAATCTTTGTTTCTTCTGGGAATAAAAGTGTATTTTAGGAGTTCTCTTGTGAGGAACCTTGGGGAAAGGAATGCTACTGTTCATCTTTATTATCTGATGAAGCTGCGCTCAGCTGATGAAGTCATCTGATTAAAGAGCCTGCGTGCAGACATTCCATCTCCTGTCAGGGTAAAATACAGCAGAACGTGTGTAGCCTGGGTTGTTTGCTCTGGCCGTGCATCTGAACTATGGGATCTCAAAATCAGTCCATTTGGTGACGTTACACACAACAAACAAGACAACTAAACCCATTTTAAATCCACTGTCATGTTTCTCATCGTACCCCCTCCCTCACATTTGAACACCTCCTGTCAGGGTCGTGTAACGTGATGAAGGGACCATTTCTCCCCTCTAACAGCTGTCCTTGTGACACAGTGCCAGTGTGCATGAACAGCCAAGGTCATGCATTTACTTCTAATGTTTACATTCCAGCAAGAAGACAGAAGAAAGAAGAAGAATGCTTTCTTTTTAATTAATCAAAGAACTCTAGTCTAATAAATCTAATCAAAACAACTGTTAGTCAATAATAACCATGTGACCGATCTGTGAAATCACAATGTTATGATTAATATGTTTAATGAGTAATATGACTTTGGTCTAACTGCACTAGACATCCTGATCCACGTAATGTCAACACATGACACATTGTTTACTCAACCAATCAGAACCTTCATTCTGAAGCGTGGCAGAGTCTCTGTGGTGTTTATTTAATCTGTCCACTGCGATTCGTCCAGAATCGTAAACAACCAAGATTAATAAAACAGAACAACGCCATTTCGAGTTCAGTATTCAACCAGCTCTCAAGATCATCTGATGTCCATCATTGCTAAGTGAAGTACGTACTGGCCATCTGTACGTTTTACTTTTAAGCTGAGAACTGTCAAGCTGGAAAATCCTGTCGTTGTTACCAACAAACAACGGTGTCACAATCTGCCCTGCTCACTAATCAGCTCTCATAATGCACAACAGTTGTTCCCAGTTTGTGTTGTCAGGTGGGCGTGTCAGAGAGCCAGCTGCTCCTGATCTCCTGATCAGAGGACCAGGGGTACTTAAGGAGCGGTGTGAAACAACTCCAGTGCCGGTCGATACTCGCCTTTGGGTAACACTAGCTTTGTCTCAAGTTTAAGCTTCAAATATTCAGCATGTGTTTTAGTCAGTCAGTTCCTGTCAGTCCTGGTCTTGTGTTTTGAAACTTCTACTCATCTGTCACTCAGGATTACTCACCACTGCCTGGAGTTGTTAAACCTACTACACGTTGCTCACCGTCCCTTGGTCTCCTCGCTCTCTGCCGCTCGCCTGTCACCCTACCTGTTACCTGCCTGCCTACCAACCTCCTCCGGATCTACAGCAATCCCTGCCTTCCTGTCTGCCATATACCTGTTCACGCATCTCAGTTTGGATCCTCAGCCTCGTTCTCTGTTCCCGTTTGGCTTCACCATCCAGCCCAGTCTCACCAAGGATTTTAACTTTCCCAATCGCGGTTCTTCCTGTTCTCGTCTGGAGCAGCGCTTTAAGTTTACAACACGTTCCTTAATAAATTTTTATTTGCATTCTACTCACCCTCGTCTCCACTTGTGATTCTTTCATGTCCTGGGTTAAATATATACCCAACATGACAAACGGTTCCTTCAGAATAAAAGCTGAACTCGCTGACCCAAAGGGGGTCCCTTTGACGCTGTGAAACACCTGCCGTTTTTACCTGGAGACTATCCAAAGACTGGTTTGTCGTGCTGCCGACACTGTTTCATCGGCTCCAGTACCAAGAGGAGGGTCCGAGGACCTGGCAGCCGGATCTAACACGGAAGTCCCTGACGGGTAATGTGGAACGGCACAAGATAGCGTCTCATGTCTTTCATGACTAAAGTTCAAACGTCGATCAGTTAGGAGCAAAACAACATCTCCCACTCAGACTCGCTTCTCCAGACGGAGGTTCTGAACTGACATCGCACCAACACACACTCCACCTCATTACATTCCATTCACAACCATCATTAGAGAGTTAGTCCCGTTAATTGTTTAAAATAATTTAGATAATAAATTTTCTTAAACATTCCAAGGTCTCTCTCTCTTCTCTTGTCTCTCAGTTCATGCAAATTGTTTAATTTTAAATTTCCCTGTAATAAAAAGAACCACTTCTGATTTAAGAAAGCCCAGGTCCAGAGATGGGACCCATGCCAGGTATGGATCATTAATATCTCTGGTCATTAATTCAATTGTAATACCCTTCCTTTCCATTACAGTCGTAACATGACCAGAATCACTGAGTCATGACGTTAGTCTTTGCAAGAGGATTCAATTAGATAGGAGCTGCTCAGTTCAGATCTTTTTAGACTGATTTTAAAACTCAACATGTAGCCAAGTTCTGGACCACCCGCAGAGGTTTCAGCAAGAAGGGCGTTGCCACAGTCATGGTGGGAGATGGCGGTAGTCTGCACCAGGAGCTGGCTGGTGTGTTGGATACGATCTTTTCTATGTTACAAAATGCAAAATGAGCGAACGAGCGACAAAGGCAACGTGATCATAAAGAATCAGCTGGTCATCGATCACAACACCCAAGTTTCTAACTCTCTTTGATGGAGCAAGAGATACGGATCCAGTTTGACATTTAAGACTACTTTGTTCTCACTCGCCACCTAAAGGCAGGCGTGTGTGTGTGAATTATTTTTTTATTTTTTTTAATTTTATTTTATTTTAAGCACTTGCACACGATAATCATGGTCAGATTAATTCATATTGATCAACATCTTGTGCTGCGATGGTTTTTACCGAATGTCGTCTTCATTTGCAAACATGATGACAGCTCGAGCATTAGGTGTCTCCAGCAGACGAAGGATGATCTTGTCAAACTCTCCCGGTCTTGGTTCCCGGAGAATCTTCAGTGACTGAGCGATGCACACCCCACCTGATGAAAAAGAGATTTACTGCTGAATAATTATTACATCAAACAAAGCTATTGTTAGCATTTGCCTGGGGAACTGTTTTTTCTTTGAGCCTCTCTGATTGGCCCAACAACCTCCTTATGTCATTCTTCTTTTCTTTTTCAGTCACAGGGTTCTGTAACGAGGATGGAGATCATTTCAGTTTGACTAACTTGTGTTTAACAGGCTTGAACATACATGTGATGTTTCACCTTCTAACCTAAAACATCCATTTGTTTCGGTCGAATTTTCATATCTCCTCAGACCTGAGTTCTTGGGATATGAAGTAAATTCCTAGGATTTCAAGTGAGTCTGATACTCACTTCTTGAGTGAAAGCAAGTAAAGAACGCTGTCGAAATCTGCTGGAAATCAAATCAATTCAACACGCTTGGCAGCCGCATTGCCATTTGATTGGAGCTAAAACTTTTCAGAAGTACTGTTAGTTGGCATGGAATGAGGAAAAATGGCTCTTTCCAGATCTACCCCTTGGCCTTCGTATGAACTGTGACATGAAACTGTCCAGTTTAGTTTCATTAAAGGATTTTAAACTAACAGACCCTAAAACTGGAAGCCAAATGAAGCAAAACAATCCCTGGATTAGGTCTATGCATCACTTCATCCTCATAAGTGAATGTTGTCTGAATGAGGGTCCCAGAATGCTCTAACATCACATCCAATCAGACGCTCACAGCTTTGTGACACAATAAGGAGAAGAGCACATTTTCTGTCTCTGACAATGGCTCTTCAAATGTAATAGGCAATTTCCTCACTTTGTCCTGTTGATGTCCTGATGTGTCATGATTCTCATCTTGGCAAAATCCAGGACTGATAGAAAAAAAAACTGCTAAATTTCATCAGATTAAGGTTGATAAATGATTCACCCACTAAAGAATTCTGTTTTATGCTGTAGTTTACTTTGTCTGTGTGATTTCAGCAGCCACAGAAAACTACATCAATGCAGCAGTCACCTCATCAGCACCAAGCCACTGTAAACATTCATCACTGTTTCACATGAAAGTTCATTTGATTTCATTCTATAATGATTGTATTTAACCAAAAAAATTCAGCAACTTAACCTGCTCCGATGCAAAGTTCATTAGCTGGTTGTTGTGTAGCGTGTAGTGAATTAGCGCCATACCAGAATTCAAACATGGAGGTGGTGTGATGATCTGGGGCCAACCCTCTGCCGCTTCAGGACCTGGACCACCTGCTGTAAGTGATGAATTTTGCTCTCTAGCAGAATATTGGCCCTTTGACCCTAAACAGGCCATGCATGCTGGAAAACTCTAGCCTAGAATCTAGACCGTCATTTGCCAAAGCAAAATTCGGTCTAGCAACGCTCCATTGGACCCTCCACGGCCCTGGCCACTATTGTGGCTGACCAATCACAGTGCATTTATTTACAAGAATGATGAATTGTTTTCTGTTGTTTTTATGTTTTATGTAGTTCTACCACAATGTAATGACAGACTGCTCCACTGACTGACATTCAATTCAATTCAATTCAAAGATTATTAATCCCCGAGGGAAATTAGAGTTTCAGTACACACAATTCTGAGATCAGACATACATGGGCAAAGACAGAGAACAGATTCAGATAAGTAATTGTTTTGGGGCCAGACAGAGATAATTTCCTCTCTGTCTTAAAGTTCCGTTGGTCCTCAACCCCTCTGAATCCAATAATGGCGTAAATTAATCTATCCCAATCCGTGCTAATTCATCCACTCGCTCCTTGATCGCATTCATCTTTTGTGCCAATGCATGAATCTCAGCCAAAGTTCCAAGCTTACGACTCATCTCAACATTTATATGAGTTTGTGTGTTCACAGCGCGGTGTAATCCATCCCTGAGCTCCAGGAAAGAGCCAATATTCCTCGACAGCTCGTTAATTTTCTGGTAAGCCAGGTATACCTCCCAGGCCAAAAAGCAGGAAACCTGACACCAACACCACGAATATCCAGACGTCTTCAGAATCCTCTACAGACAGCTGAGAGAGGCAGATCAGGTTCCACTGTTTCCAGGAGTCCATGATATGCCCAACTGGCTCTGTCGCAGAGGGGCACCCGGGAGCCCCTTCTCCCGTTCTCATCATTGAAAAAATGTTGTCAATCGCGTTGAGAGACCAACTGACCAGGTCCATTTTTAATCATTTCCAGTTTCCAGAAAAAATGCAGAAGTGCCATACACCCAGAGACAGACAAAGAGCCTTGGGGATAAGATAGGGAGGAAAGGAGGAAAAAACTGTCTGTCCTCTCCAAGAGCCAAAAGAAAGGAAAGGCCGTAGCGTTCCAATCACAGCGCTCTGTTGGTTTGGTGGGCAGGAAATTACGAAGACTGAGCAAAACTAAGATGGCAATGGCTCCGTAGCGGTCCAATTACAGTACTCTACTGGTTTAGTGGGCCAATCACAGCACTCTGTTGGTGGGTGGAATGCTACTGAAATAACAAAGATGGCAACAGCTCATATGAACTGGCTTTGATATCAACTTTGGGCTATTTAGACTTGGGCTTTTCTTTGTCTCAAGAGCAGATGGATATACTTAGAAAAAGTATGTATTTGCCTCTTCTTTGACAAAATATTATTCTCACCAAATCCTAGTCTCCCTCATGCTAAATAATGTGAAATGGAAAATGAAATCAATAAATATTTCAAAAGTGATATTTGAACTCCAAACATTTCACATTTTCTTTGATGAAAAATGGGCGGTGGCCACTACCGCCATTTTGACCGTGTCACAGGTTCCGTCAAGCCCAGACAATTCCACAAAAGGGAAGAGAGGTGGAGCTGAGGGTGGGGCTGTAAGGCTGGGATCAAATGACGACACCAGTCGAACTAGCTACAAGCTAACCTGAAGCTAACGTGGAGGTGGGAGCTAAGCTAATGGAGAGCTACCTAGCTACAACCGGAGCTAACTCTGGAACACCAGCGACCTGAAGCTAACACGGAGTTTGTGTGGAGGGTTGCGGCGCTTTTTCATGAAAACTATCTTTCTGTGAATAAAAAAGTATTAGATCTGTAAGTTTATAAGTTATTTCATTAATGAAAATATATTTTGCTTTGAGCAAGTTTTCAATATTTTTAACATACCGTATTTTCCGGACTATAAATCACTCTGGAGTATAAGTCGCACCAGCCATAAAATGTATAATGAAGAAGAAAAAAACAAATATAAGTCGCATTTTGGGGGAAATTCTATTATTTTTCTTACAAAAACTGAGACCAAGAGTTTCACATTGCAAGACAAGTACTGGTAATAATAACAGAATAAACAACGCGGGCGCAACAGCACGCCACGGTTGGTGGTGTTTGAAACCCTTCCACCGGGACAGGGGAGCTCATTCCTGGGTCGGAGCCCGCAGCAGGGCGCCACAGGCTGTAGCAGGTGATGGGGGGGCAGAGGAGCTGAAACCTGGGTTGGATCCAGCCCGCAGCTGCGTGCCACAATCTCCAGCACGTGATGGCTGCATGTTTTTAGTTTCCTGTGGGTCAGGGGAGCTCACTCTTGGGCCGGATCAGGTGAGTAACAGTGCACCACAGGCTCCAGCAGGTGATGGCTGTGTGTTTTTTATTCCCAGCAGGGTAGGGGAGCTCATTCCTAGTCCAGAGCCGGCCCGCAACAGCACGGTACAGCCTATATATTTGGTATATAAGTCGCTCCGGAGTATAAAGCCTGATTTATGCTTCTCCATCTGCGTCAGTGCGGAGACACGCAACGCCATTATCCGTCCTTGCGTAGGGCTCCGGCAGGCACGCAAGTACGTACGGAGTCGAGCCCACTTTTTTAAACATCCGTCGAACGAGACGGATTACGCAAGCTTGTGATTGGTCAGGACACCGCTGTTGTTTACAGCGCCGCCATTGCAAAGAGAGCCGAGTTTAACTAGCGGCAGACACGGAGAAGCTTGAAGAATACCTCGCGAAAAAGACTCTTAAAATATGAACGATTAATTCTCCCGTGACTGGAGGAGTGAAAAGATGTGCAGCAAGCATTTTATTTGTGGACGGAAATGACAGGAAACGTGGGTTTAGAGGTGGGGAGCGCATGAAGCGGTGGGAGAATGAGAGACAAATATGTCCGTGTTAAAAGTCTCTTATATACACAAAAAACACAATATAAACACACTATCTTGGACCGGATACATGACAGGATACCACAGAACAGCGCTACGCCCTATGTGGTCCTGCCGGGCAATTGCTTTGCAACACTCCCCAGGAGATGGAGAAGTAAAAGAGCAAAACTCTTCCGTCAATCCGTGCATGTCTTTCCCTTGCGGAGCTGACGGAGAAGCATAAACCAGGCTTAAGTCGCAGGACCGGCCAGACTATGAAAAAAAATGTGACTTATAGTTCAGAAAATATGGTAGTTATTAGTATTTGAGATAAATTAGCAGGCTAAATATATTTCATATATTTCTAAAACGTAATACATGTTTGTATCTTGTACAGCCAAGTAGCCTTTATTCTGGACTCCGTACAAGTCACCAAAAGTAAAGAGACATTATACAGATGAAGTAAGCACAAGATAACTTACTGGAAGAAACGGAATTATCATGAGAACCAGAACAAGACAGCCTGATAACAGTCATGTGAAAATAATGATTAAAAAGTATGTATGTGTAATAGAAATAAAAATGTATTAGAATTAATGTAACTCACTGTGATCCAAACAATAAATCAGCCACAGCTGATTAGCAATCATGAAATGAGGTCTGGGAGTTTTTAATTTTCATTCTTTTATTGCATTTTTTTCTTAGATCTGTTAAAAGGTCACCATGGCAGCCTGTGTGTCTTCAAAATGGGCTACACAAAGCAGCAAGTGTAAGTACCAAGTACCTGTCTTGACCACTTCATGTATGGTTTTGTACTTTAAACAGCAAGGCCAAACCTGTTATTTTTTTCTCCAAGGCCATTTGGATCATTGGAGACAGCTACGTGAGGTGTGGTGCCCAGAGAGCTGCAGAGACCCTCGGAGACAACCTTGG